AATTAACAATTTACTTTAACAAAAAACTAATTAAATGTTTTCCAATTGTTTTGCAATACAATTAATTTGAAATCAATAATTAAATTTAAATCTTCAATAGAAAAATAAATTTAAGGATATGTTCATTTACATAACTTAAGTCATGATTTGAGTTATGCTTGTGAGAGAAAAGTACTGTAGTAAAAAAGTTGAATTTAAATTTTTGTAAGAGAAAATAAATTTATAGTAATATAACTTGAGTTACGAAATGAACAAGACTTAAGTCTATAGAACTAAATCACATAAATAGCATTATATGCCTAATTTGAAATTGGAAAGTGGATAGATGATGAGGGTTTGTTATAGGGGTGCGAACCTAGCTGGATTTCCTAGTTGGCCTTGATTTTTTCTCTATAATTTTTAAATCTTTTGTCAGTTTTATGTCAATAAATGAAAATAGTGAGAGAATTAAAGTTCAAGAACTAATTTAACGAAATAAAAAGTTCAGGACTAAATTTATACATTGTCTTTATTTAGGGGCTACGATCGTATTAGTAACGTTTCTAAGAATCAGATATATATTCATATTGAAAATAGTCAACAGATTGTAAAAGTTTGTGTATTATCAAGGATGCAGTTCGTGCTATATATTGATTAGATCCACTTATTACTTTCTTTTAGTATTTTTCTTAACGAGAAGCTAAATACAAGTGTTATACAAATATTAAAATTGTTATTATTATAAAGGTGAAAATGTCTATTAGCAACTAAATCGTGTTATTGTTAGAACGTATTTACGTATTTGCTTCATGGAACGATATCCAAGATTTTATAGTTGTGCCTCGCATTTTTACCTTTTGTTTTGAGCACTGTAGAATGTTGGAAAAATTTGTCTAAAACCAAAGCAAATAACAGAGAACTAAAAATAACGATCAAAAACTAAAAGTAAAATTCACACCAAAAATTTTATAGAGGTTAACCAATTTGACTATGTCATGTTTCTACCGTCCCGCTAATCAGTTGAAAAAATTCTTTACAGAGAAAAGCACTCAATCTCACTTTATGTTTCTCTCACACTCAAAAGATGTTTCCTAGTCTCACACTCCAATTTTCTCTATGAAAATTTGTCATACTAAGTCCCCATAACATTAGGTATTTATAGAGTACAAGAAAAACCTATAAAAGTCCTTAAAAGTCACATAAAACTGACCTTAAGATCACCTGCCTGCGACCGTGCCGCGGCACTACCTTCTCAGTACCGCGGTGCTACTAATTTGAAACGTACATAATGTGCTCGCTGGTGCCATGGCGCCTATTCTTGGTGCCGTGGCAGTACGGGGACGATTTAGCAGTGCGCTCATAGAACCATGTATGTTGCCTTCTGGTGCGGCAACACTCACTGGTCGGAGCCGCGGTACTACACAAATTTCTTCCTCTTTTTTCTTGCATGCTTTTCCTTGCGAAGCAAACGCAATTAGGTTCCACATCTCATAACATAAAAATGCTTTCACCTACAACTATATGTGCTCTGAATTCCTTCAGAACTTATGAATCAAATGTTCTACATTTTTTATTTTACTCAAAAAAGTTCTACATTAGGACAAAGTACTCATATAAGAGCGCGCGCACACACACAAGAACATGAACTTCATGAAGTCCTGTTGCTTTTCTCTCAAACAGTTTGTTTGTGTTTGTGTGTCATATCATGTTTTATATCGTTTAATCTATATGTTTAATTCCAACTTCGAAGAAGCACATTGTCAAAGGCAAAACTAGCAAAGCAAAACTCAAAAGCATGAGACACTATACCACACCCAATAATATTCCATAAATTCACAAACCTAAAAGGGGAAAAGAAAATGAAAGAAAAAATAAGTGACACATGCAACCATTGAGAAATATATATCACTTGGAATCACTTCTCCGTTGAGTATTTCTTATGTTTAATCTTCTCCATTTTGCGTCAACTTTTCTCTTCTATTAAAATAGCTTATCACTCTTCCAGAATTACGAAGGAGCTAGAAAGCAAAAATAATTTTCCATGGAGATAATGAAAAAATAACCAAAATGAAAAAGTTGTACATCTACTTGTTTACTAAAATAGTTTTTTTTTTCTAATTGTAATTATGTAATTTCATCTATATTTTTATTACAAATTATACATGTTTGAAGACTAAAATTTGTAATACATGTTTTTTTTATTTATTATTTTCTAATATTGATCGAAAGTTGGTTCTTCGGAAATGATTGTATGTATTTGTCATAAACTTTGAAAAAAAGAAAATGTAACCTGTCAGACGGCCTAAGGCATGTGCCCCATACTAGTCTGACTAAGATGCATGAACGAAGCTTTATATATGTTTTACAGAAAAGAAAATAAATTGGCATGCGGACAATTATTGAACTTAAAATTAATTATTTTTCAAGAAAGCCCATGACAAATATATTATTAATCCGAAATGATATTTGGCCCCGGAGAGAAACAACTCCGCTCAACTCCGCTTCACTTGCAAAGCTCCAGGTGTAAAGGCAAGGCCATTGCAACATTTTCTTTAATAAAAGTGGGACCGACATTTTAGTGTGCGAGAAGAGAAGGCATTCGAGTCCAACATAGTAATTTTTTGCTTTATAGCGATGTTAAAAAAGAAAAATTACAATTAATGCAACGGAGATGGTCATTTGTGAATAAGAACGAGAATTTACTAACAAGGTTGTTGAATATTAACTTTTCGCATTTCACTTACGGTTGAGATCAACAAAGTGAATGATATATATATATATATATACATATATATTTTGACCAATTTGCCAAGACCATTTATGAAGTATTTTCTTTTTATAACTACAGAGCGTGTGTTGATATATTATTGCTTTTGGTCTTATAATGTTGTCTCATATTTTTTATTTAAAACCTTTTTGAAAATATTTTCCTATAAGATGCCGATAATCTATGTAAAACATAGAGAATCTATGGGTGTGTTTGTTTCCATTTTCAAAAACGTTTTTCACTTTTTTCAAGAAAAAAATGAAAACAATGTGAGAATCGTGTTTGGGGTAGCAACGTATAGAAATCAAAAACAAAAACGTTTTTGTCTTTCTCCTAAAATCTGAGGCATTGCTGAAAACAAACTCAACTCGTTTTTCTTTTCTCCATTTTCATTTTCTCTGGGTTATTTTTCTTTCCTTCATTCTTCTCCCCACCGTTCTCTTCTCTTCCCTTTTCTCCATTTTGATTTGCTAATAACATTACACAAACAGAACAGACGCGAGTGGGCGTCGTCTTCGTGCAGCCGCCGTCGGAGGTGAGGGGAGGACTGCAAACGAAAGAGACGCGAGTGGGTGCCGTCTTCGTGCAGCCGCCGTTGGAGGTGAGGGGAGGACTTCAAACGAAAGAGACACGAGTGGGCGCCGTCTTCATGCAGCCGCCGTCGGAGGCGAGGGGAGGACTGCAAACGAAAGAGACGCGAGTGGGCGCCGTCTTCATGCAGCCGCCGTTGGAGGCGTGGGGAGGACTGCATACAAAGGTGCCAAACTCGTCGAGATCCTTGCGGTAGGCGGGAGTGTTGTCGTATTGGGGCTCATCGGAGTCAGAGGGTTCGAAGGATTCATCGGTGAAGACGGACTTGAAGAAATCCATTGAAGGAGAAGAGTTCGCTGGAGAAAACGACAATAAGTTGATGAAACGACAATTTTGAGATGAAACGACACAATTTGAAAGGGGGCCTGAGGAGGAGTTTAATATATTATTATTTTAAATAATATTACGTGTTTTTTAAAATGAAACACCAAACCCCGTTTTAATTTTTTTTAGACTAAAAATAATTTTTGAATAAAACTTCTAAACACATTTTTAGAAATGATTCCTGCCTGAAAATGAAAACGTTTTCGTTTTCATACAGAAAATAAAATTATTTTAAAACGAGTTTCAAACGCGTCCACAATGTTTAAATAACATAGAGTATTAAAATGAGATTTTCCGTATAACTTTTTAAACATATTTTGAAAGTAAAATTAAGTATTTATTATAAATAAAAAGTACAACTAAATGTTATCTTTGTTTTAATAAAGTAAATGTTATCCTTTTATCAAAAAATATACAATTGTTTTCACTTTTTTATTTTTTAACATTCCTCCAAAGCATAATCATAAAACAAGGGGAACAACCTGTGAGCGCGTGGGAAATAATGGGAAGGAAAAAAGTGGTTCCGTCACACTTGAACGTGGATCCCGCTTTTATTAAAAAAAAATGTTGCAATTGCTTGGCATTCACATGTGGTGTTTTGGAAGTGATGCGGAGCCGTATAGCTCTTTTCATGTTATTTTAACGCTTTAAAAACTCAAATAACGAGACTTTGAATGTTGATAAGCTTTTATTATTCTCTTCTAGGAGATTAGATTTTTTTTTCCCCATGATTTTCCTCCACCAAATCAGGGCCATACGCATTAAATTTGAGTAGAAATTAGATTAGCAGTCAAGGTTGGAATGCTTTGTTCTTGGTTTCATGAGCCCATCGTAGTTGTCAATACAGTAGTAATTAAAGGGGCTAACTCATTAATATTAGATTGATGATTGATGGAAAAACCACGACGTTGGGTTGGCAAGACTTATAATTATAGTAAATATATGCCATTTATTGTGTTTCAATGCTTCGATATAAAGTGATTAAAATTGTTAGATTGAAGGATAATAATCACCTTAGTACCATGTATTACTCGGAAAAATCAATTTTGTTTTATGTGTTCTTCGTAATATTATAAAGATACTGTGTTTTTAGGACATAAAATGAATAAAATAATCAAGCTATATCGTCGCTAATAAACCTTTTTATTGTAGTGATATATATAGTTTAGAGAATCAACATACAATATATAACACATATCATTTATATTTCGCAACTCTCTTATAACTTCAACATTATAACTTCAACACCTGATATGTACTTTGCACATACGAACACAATATGAGCAAGAAAATAAAGGAATTATAACAACCAAAGAGACGAAAAGAGTAATACCAGTGCTTAACGGCCTAAGAAAATTGACGAATAAGTTATGGTGGGCTCACTAGTAGATAAAGGAACTTGTATTGTAGCGTTCTCAGGTGCATGATAGTTGGGAACAGGCATGTTTTTGGGAAGATCGGGCAATGGCGCTTCAAAACTAAGGACTTGTATGACTTCCTTTATGGACGGTCTTAGATTATGGTCCGGATGAACGCACCACAATCCAACGGTCAGCAAACACTCCATCTGTTTCACGTCAAATTCCATGCATAACCTCTCATCAACCACATCAAGAAGCCTTCCACTTCCGTAAAAGGCCCAAACCCAAGAAACAAGAGAAACCCTATCCTCCTCTTCCGAATTGCGTTCAATGGATTTTCTCCCACATGCTATTTCTAACGCCACCACCCCAAAGCTGTACACGTCCGACGCGTTGCTCGCCTTGCTCGTGTTTATGTACTCCGGTGCCATGTAGCCCCATGTTCCGGCCAACCCCGTTGTCCGGGGACCAGTGGCTTCGTCCACTAGCCTTGCTAAGCCGAAATCCCCAAGCTTGGCGTTGAAATTTGAATCCAACATTATGTTGCTCGATTTGATATCCCTACAAACATTAATCATTCTCAATTTTATGCTCAATAAAAGAACTATGGGGTAAATTACAGGATATGAGACTCTTACACGAGCGGGCAAATGGAGCAACTTTATAAAGGTGGTGTCTTCCATGAATTGATTACAAAGTTATCACAAACAGACCCGCAATATCACCCTCTAAAAGAAGTTTCCATGGATTATTGTCAAAATTTCTTAGCAAATCAAAATACCGACGATGGCAATCTTTGGACAATGCTCTTTTTGATAAAAAGTGAATCTTCCGCCTTCTATTCGTGATGGTACCATTAAAGCACCTGTAATCCCATCGAGCTTCCTAAATAACAGAAAATGGGACAGTGGGTAATTGTCGTCTCATGCTACAACCTATTTATTTGATTAGTCTAAAAGCACATGATATGTAATTATACTTGGTAGTTTTTCATTTGACTAGGCTCTAATAAATCAAATATATATCCTCTGGTGGCAGCAAATTATTGTTTGGAAAAAAAATAGTAGCAGTAATCACTGCTGGCTATTGTTTACCACTTTTCTCTCTCTTCATGCATCATCAAAGAAACAAAAATAGAGTATCGTTGTCGTTTTCAAGAGCTCTTCTTATGAAAATCTTCCAAGGTAATCTATTTACATTCACTTGTATTTGACACTCGCCAAATGGAAAGAGATACAAATACAGTGAGCTAGTGAAATAGAGAAACAAAGTATCATTTGTCGTTTATTGATGATATTGTAATCCGTGTTTTAATGATATATAAAGCTGGAAAGAGCAATATTTGTTGGAAGTGTCGTTTGTTAACGGTAAAAAAAAAAAAAAAAAAAAAAAAAAAAAAAAAAAAAAAAAAAAAATCACAAATGGGCCTTTAAAAAAAATGAGAAGAGAAAATAAAATTTTGTATTGACTCAACTTTAGACTGGTCCAAAAAAATAATTAAAAAAAAGAAAAAAAGGATTAAAAAAAATGCACGAGAGTCCAGAACGTTAACGTGGAAAGGAAATAGGAGTGCAGAACGTCCAGAACGTTAAATTCTTTTATATAAAGGAAGCGAGTGCAGAGAAAAAGAGGAATTTTTTGGGGAGCTTTTCATCAAAAAACGTGTGTGCGTTTTCCTGAAGATAGGTACGTGTGTGCATAGAAGTCAAAGAAAGAGAAAAAAAAACAACAAAAGGTGCAGGTATGTGCAGGAAAGTGTAGAGAAGAAAGCAAAGAGCGTGTGTGGGGAAACGTGAAAGAAAAAAAAACAAAAAAAAAAAGGTGCAGGCTTGTGTGTGCAGGAGACGTGAAAGGGAAAAAAACACAAAAAGGGTGCGTAGGTGTGTGTGCAGAGAAGTATACATCCGTGATATTTTAAAATAAGAAGGTAAATATATATTTTGATACTTTAATTTTTTTTGCACTAATAATTTTAGTTTTATGCGTTATTTAATAGATGCAGTATATTTAAATCAAGTCCTATGTACACTTTAAAGTATGGGATTGTGATTTACTCCTTGACACTTTTTACGAAGATAAATTTTATATACACCTTATGGTGTGGAATTTCTTATTTGTAACGCTCTTAATAAATTCCTAATCCACTCATGATGTGTGGTTTCTCGTTCTTATCACAATCCTATGATTATCACTAAGACTTGAATTTCTTTTTAGTGATCTATATAAGTTAAATGTGATTTTAAAAAAATCAAAGATTAAAAGTTTTTTAAATTATTGGGTACGATTATTTTGAGTGCAATTCGAGTGAAAAACTCATACAAATTACACTTTAAGAATCGACATATGAGAAATTATGTGCATATGATCTATATGAAAATATTCATATGAATCGCACTATACCCGCCAAGAAACAATCAAAGAAAGAAAATAAAAAAAAATAAAAATAAGAGTAAGCAACCGCCACCATCTCCTTCTCAATACCTTCACAAATATATTTATATATATATATATATATATATATACCTTCACAAATATATGAATTTACTGTTTTAATTGGAATCAAAAAGTTTTTTCTTATACTAAGATATTGTAATTAAGAGATTATTCTTATAATTTTGAATGGATCGAACTTAAAATAATAAACTCTTACATTAATTAAATTCTAAAATAGATAAAATTATATTATGTGTGAAATATTATTTCAACATTAATAAATATTTTTATCGGCACAAGCTTGAACTCTTGTAATACTGGATCGCATAACATCACTTCATCAAATTTAATGAGGCAAATGATCCCATCACAATGGCATTGAACCCGCCAATCATACTACCTGTACCGTCCAAGCCCACGAAGCAGAAAACTGACATCCTCAATTAAAGAACCGCTGTGATCATTGTCACCATCATCAATGAAGAGTATAAGCAATGAGAATCTTTGTTCATAGCAGTTTTTGTTTGCTGGCCTTTAAGGGGGGCAAGGGCGACGGATAATTAAGGATGAAGAGGACTTGTGCTTGAAATTTTGGAGATTCTTGGAAACAAATAGTGGGTCTTTGATTAGGGAACAAATAAGAGCGTACCAATACTTGCTAACGCGCTTGAATAGTACCAAAGCGTCAGCAGGGAGCCGTAAAAAGATGTCCTGCACTGCATCCTCCGGCCGATTGTGGAAGCTTGTCATTTCTGCTTACCAATAAGAAATAATGTCATCACCATTTATGCTACATATTTTTCATATAAGATTCGGCCAAACTTAATTTCATAATCCAAACATTTAAAAGAAGCAACCCCCATCCAGGAATTGATCCATAAGAAAACCAAACTAATTCACATGCAAAATTCTTGTTATAATTTTGTTCACTTCTATGTATTTAGCTAGTGGGCCCTTTTATTTATTTATACATTTTCCTGTCTTGGTTGTATTATTACCTAAATTCCATCAACTAAATTACTCATATCGCATCCTACAGATAATTAAAACTACAAGAAAATATAAAATTTTAATTTGGAACAGAGCATCCCTCTTTAATTAGAAATAAATAAAACAGCATAAATGAAGAAAAAAAGGTTTGAGAGATTCAAAACACATACTTCCTAAAGATGGAAGATATTTGAAATTACTAATATAATATAATAAACACATCCAAATTTCAGAAAAATGTATTCTTCCAAATAACAACAAAAAATTATTCAAAGTTCACAGAGAGGCTAAATGGGATAAAGAAAATTTAACAGAAGCCCATCTAATCGCAGGAAAAGAAAAAAAAAATCAAACTTCCCATTAAAAACTACAGTTGGAATTTTTTTCTCGTTCCCTTTTTTTCAGAAACAAAAAATTTCGTCGGAAGGAAAAAACTAGGAATAATTTTGATATTTTATTAGAATACTCTTTGAAACCGCAGCTGGAGATGTCTTCTCATCTTTGTTGAGAAAAAATAATCTAATAGGATATTTTTGATTCCTATCAGGGTATTTTTTTAATGAATTAAGAGACATAAATGTTAAATTTATGCCATTGAGTGATATAAATATAAAGATGATAAATTTAGAGTGATATTTTTATATTTTTCTATTAATAAAGTTTTATCAAAAGAGATTTTTTAAATTTACATAGTTTTTATAAATTTGAGTTAACGTTCGTTAAAAAAAAAAAAAAGAAAAAAAAAAGACCTTTCGTGGTCTTAATCAATAACCCATGTGCAGGTTGCACATCAATTCTCGTGTACCGCCGAATTCTTGGGGTGGCTGTTTAGGGTTGATTTCCAATTGTGAGGATACAGCGACAAGTGGCCTTGTTGCCGTGGAGTTCGACTCTTTCCAAAACGATTTCGATAGAACCTCCTGCCATATCGGAATAAACGTAAACTCAATTATATCGGTGAAGACCGTGACGTTGACGCGTGAATGGACTCCTGTCTCCAGAGGTTTCGCGAGGATTTGGTATACTTCTCGGGCCAAAACCCTCTCTGTTATGGTTGATTACCATAATCAAACTTACAAGCTATCTCATCATCCTCTAGATCTATCGAAAGTTTTGCCTAAAAGAAGTTTCGGCTTCTCAGCGTCGACTGGTCACTCCATCTCGATTCACCGTATCCTTTCGTGGGAGTTTAACTCAACAGGCTTCTCATTAATCGCGGAAGATGGTGCTGGACTCGATAGAAATCAAGTGGTGGCTTGTATACTAGGTGGGCTGACTTTTCTAGTATTTATTGGTGTTGCTTTGTTCTATGCCTTCCGTCGTAGAGACGGCAATGCTTTTATCTGTAATGTCTTTCAGAAGAGAAATGGAGAGACGGAGAGTACTACAGCTTTGGATGATGTGTCGAATATGGATCGTGAATTTGAGCATGATATAGGGCCTAAGAAGTTCTCTTATAAGGAATTGGTTAAGGCCACAAATAAGTTTGCGGAACAAGGTATACTTGGTGGAGGAGGATTTGGGGAAGTTTACAAAGGCTACTTGAGGCACTTGAATCTAACTGTGGCAGTTAAAAGAGTTTCTAAACGGTCCAAACAAGGAAGAAAAGAGTATATGTCCGAGGTCAAAATAATTAGTAGACTCAGACACAAAAACTTGGTGCAACTAATTGGTTGGTGTCATGATAACAAAGAGTTCCTTCTTATCTATGAGTTCCTCTCAAATGGTAGCCTTGATTCTCACTTGTTTGGAAGAGAAAGAAGCATTCTTTCATGGAAAGTGAGGCATAAAATAGTCCTTGGTCTTGCGTCTGCACTTCTCTACTTGCATGAAGAATCGGAACAATGTGTTCTTCACCGTGATATCAAATCGAGTAACATAATGTTGGATTCAGATTTCAATGCCAAGCTCGGCGATTTCGGCTTAGCAAGGCTAGTGGATGAAGCCACTGGTTCGCGGACAACAGCGTTGGCAGGAACATTGGGCTACATGGCACCGGAGTACATAAACACGAGCAAAGCGAGCAAGGCCTCTGACGTGTTCAGCTTCGGGGTGGTGGCGTTAGAAATAGCATGCGGAAGAAAATCGATAGAACATGATTCCGAGGAGGAGGATAGGGTTTCTCTTGTTTCTTGGGTTTGGGACTTTTACGGAAGTGGAAGGCTTCTTGATGTGGTTGATGAGAGACTATGCTTGGAATTTGACGTGCGACAGATGGAGTGTTTGCTGACCGTTGGATTGTGGTGCGTTCATCCGGATCATAATCTAAGACCGTCCATAAAGGATGTCATACAAGTTCTCAGTTTTGAAGCGCCATTGCCAGATCTTCCAAGAAACATGCCTGTTCCCAACTATCATGTACCTGACTCTGAAATACTTCATTCCTCTACTAGTGCGGCCACCATAACTGATTCATCATTTTTCACAGGCCGTTAAGACAAGTACTACCTCCTTCGTTCTTTGTAGGCTGTAGCCTTAAAATTTCTTTGTCGTTTTTCCCTTTTTTTTGGTTTAATTTATTGTACTTTATCCTCACCCTTTATCCTTTAAGGTTTCTTTCTTTTCTACTTAATTAAGTTTATAACTTCTTAGTATTGTGTTCATGTACACATATAAAAATATCAGCATATTCTTGCCGCCACATATAGCAGTATGGTAAACTGGTAATTAACAATTTACTTTAACAAAAACTAATTAAATGCTTTCCAATTGTTTTCAATACAATTAATTTGAAATCAATAATAAAATTTAAAACTTTCATAGAAAAAATAATAAAAATTTAAGAGTATGTTCATTTACACAACTCAAGTCATGACTTGAGTTGTGTATACGAGAGAAAAACAATGCAACAATGTAGCAAAAAAATTAAATTTAAATTTTTCTAAGAAAAAACACTGTAATAATATGACTTGAGTCATGAAATGAATAAGGCCAAAATTTACAGAACTAAATCACGTAATTTGCAATATATGCCTAATTTGTAATTGGAAAGTGGGTAAATGATGAGGGTTTGTTATAGGGGTGCGAATCTAGTTGGATTTCCTGGTGTATCTCCTGATTCCTATCACCCAACAATGTGATAACAAATAATAATAGTATATATGCGTCGTCCGATTCATACTAGAAAGACATAAAAATAGTATATTGCAAAAATTCAGTGTTTAGTTTAAACATCCATACATGAAATAAGCAGTGGCGAAGGGTAACTAATCTTTCTGCTTAAGGCTCCTAATCTGTTGGCAGAGGTTCTTGTATCAGTGGCCGCGGATGTAGTTCAAATGGAGGAAAGTACCCGCGGTATCGCGTATTCAAAGAATGATTAGGTGCTTGCTGTAGGACCGACATGAGGTGACCCTTGTTCTTCACTGATGCCGCGTTTTCATGATTGTCCACTATCAAAATTTTACAGTTTTAAGGGCTTTTAACAAACAATCTAGTATATGTTTTGCATTTAATATAACTATACGGCTAGGAGTTGATTTTCTCTGTATAATTTTTAAAATCTTCGTCAGTTTTATGTCAATAAATGAAAATAGTAAAAGAATTAAAGTTCAGGAACTAATTTAACGAAATAAAAAGTTCAGGACTAAATTTATACATTGTCTTTATTTAGGAGCTAAGAACGTATTAGTAACCTTTCTAAGAATCAGATATATATTCATATTGAAAATAGTCAACAGCTTGTAAAAGTTTTTGCGTATTATCAAGGATGCAGTTCATGCTATATATTGATTAGATCCACTTATTACTTTCTTTTAGTATTTTTCTTAACGAGAAGCTTGAATACAAGTGTTATACAAATATTAAAATTATTCTTATTAGAAAGGGGAAAATGTCTATTTGCAACTAAATTATGTTATTGTTAGAACGTATTTGCATATTTGTTTCATGGAACGATATCCAAGATTTTGTGCCTCACATTTAACTTTTGTTTTGAGCATTGTAGAATGTTGGGAAAATTTGCCTAAAACCTAAGCAAATAACAGAGAACGAAAAATAACGAACGAGAAATTTAAGTAAAATTCACACAAAGAATTTAATATATAGAGGTTCGCCAATTTGGCTACGTCCTATTTTTGCTACTGCAAATTTCATTAATCAGTTGAATAGATTCTTTACAGAGAAAAGCACTCAATCTCACTCTATATTTATCTCACACTTAAAAGATGTTTCCTAACCTCACACTCTAATTTTCTCTCTGAAAATTCGTCATACTAAGTCCCCATAACATTAGGTATTTAAAGAGTACAAGTAAAGCCCAAAAAAGTCCTTAAAAATCATCCAAAACCGGCCTTGAGATCACCTACTTGTGACTAGTGTTGCGGCACTACCTTCTTGGTATCGCAACGCTACTTCGAATCGCATATGATGTGCTCGCTAATGTCACGGCGGCCATTTTTGGTGCCGCGGCATTACGGGCACGATTTCAGTAGCGCTAAGGCACTGAGCATTGGTGCCATGGCGCCATGTATGTAGCCTTCTGGTAAGATGTGCCTAAGGCATGTGCCCCATACTAGTCTTACTAAGATTAATGAACGAAGTTCTATATATGTTTTACAGAAAAGAGAATAAATTGGTATCAGGACAATTATTGAACTTAAAATTAATTAGTCAACAAGAAAGCCTACGACAAATATATTATTATTCTCAAGACAAGGCAAGGCAATGCAACATTTTCGCGTGACTATAGTAAAGGAAATTGCAACTCCATTCAACATTTTGCTGCAGTATTATAGTAATTTTTTGCAATCATTACAACAGAAGCAGAGACCTTTGGCTATTCTGTTATGCCGTTCAGCTTCCCATGATCGAGTTTGCGGTGGTTGGGTTGTCGCTTGGGTTGTAGGGGAAAATTGTCGGGGGTTTGCGTGAACAGAAGAAGCACGCGTGAAAAATGTTTGGGGCTGTGGACTGGGCCGGCTGGCTGTGGTCCAACTGGCCCCTTTGGTGCTGTGATGTGGGTCTAGTTTGGATTCAAATTCAAGAACCATACTCATGGCTTTATATACTGAACATGGTTTGTGAATCCGTACGTTAGCCTTCAATTCTTCCTTTAAGCCACAAAGAAAGGCCCCTAGGAGACAATGTTCGGGCAACAACTTGAGTCGAGCGGCGCGTTTGACAAACTCTTGAGTACGGTATTCTTGAACGCTCCCCACTTGCCGAATGTTGTATAGATGCTCGTCTAGATTTTTGGAATTCTGCAGGTCCATAGTTCTCTTGAAGGGCTTTCACCAATTCTTCCCAATACACAATAGTTTGCTCACTATTGATCCAGGTGAACATATTGAGGGCGTCACCTTCCAAGTACATGGCAGCAATCTGGACTTTCATATCATCTGGGGTTTGATGATAACGGAAAAAATTTTCCGCTTTCAGAATCCAACCCCGTGGATCACCTCCTTCCTATTTAGGAAATTCCATCTTGGTGAATGGGTGTTGCAAAGGGTTACGCAACCACCAAGGGCTATCCATCTCCGTTTTGACATCATCCGCCCAAAACGGCTTGTCTCGTTGACGAGAACCCAAGCTAGTTTCTGCCATCTTTCTTTTGTCCTGCTTGCCTTGGCTAGTTTCTCCCGGTGCTGGTTGGCTGGTTTGTGCCTTGAGAGCGGCGACTTCAGCGGCTAGAGCATCAATTGTGCCAAGTTGGTAGCGATAGTCGAAAGCTGCAGAACAATGGGGTCAGGACTTGGGTCAATAGCGGAAGGTTGGATTGGTGTTCACCATGATGGATTAACCTGCTCTGATACCAAAATGTTAGGAGCGGAGATAATAAAAGGAAATTACTAGAAATATTAGGAAAAGAAAGGAAATATATTGGCTGAAAACGAAATGCAAGAATCTTTAACACCAGCTTCCACCAAAACAAGTGTCCATATGGAGAGGACAAGACTCCCAAGATATAATAGAAACAATTCAATTTGATAACTAATAGCTAATCCTAAACAGATATTTATAGAAAACATCCATAAAATATTTGTAACAAACAACTAAAAAATAAGAAAACATGAACTAAGTGGTGAAATGGCTCAGTGGACACGTGCTGGAGAGAATCAAGGAAATAGCTACTCCGCTACTTGGTTGAATGGATCATCCTCCACGTGTGCTAAACCCAAAAACTGGAGTTGGACTTAGTCAATGCTCCCAAGAGCCTTATCCCCACTTCCACGTTGTCTTCTAGAATAAGTCAAAAGCATGAGACACTATACCACCCAATAATATTCCGTAAATTCACAAACTTAAAAGGGGAAAAAGAAAATGAAAGAAAAAATAAGTGACACATGCAACCATTGAGAAATATATATCACTTGGAATCACTTCTCCGTTGAGTATTTCTTATGTTTAATCTTCTCCATTTTGCGTCAACTTTTCTCTTCTATTAAAATAGCTTATCACTCTTCCAGAGTTACAAAGGAGCTAGAAAGCAAAAATAATTTTCCATGGAGATAATGAAAAAATGACCAAAATGAAAAAGTTGTACATCTACTTGTTTACTAAAATAGTTTTTTTTTTTCCTAATTGTAATTATGTAATTTCATCTATATTTTTATTACAAATCATGCATGTTTGAAGACTAAAATTTGTAATAGATGTTTTTTTTTTTTCTTTTCTAATATTGATCGAAAGTTGGTTCTTCGTAAATGATTGTATGTATTTGTCATAAACTTTGAAAAAAAACATGTAACCTGTAAGACGTGCCTAAGGCATGTGCCCCATACTAGTCTTACTAAGATGCATGAACGAAGTTCTATATATGTTTTACAGAAAAGAAAATAAATTGGCATGCGGACAATTATTGAACTTAAAATTAATTAGTCATCAAGAAAGCCTATGACAAATATATTATTATTCTCAAGACAAGGCAAGGCAAGGCAACATTTTCGCATGATTATAGTAAAGGCAATTGCAACTCCGCTCTACATCTTGCTGCAGTATTATAGTAATTTTTTGTTTTATAGCGATGTTAAAAAAGAAAAATTACAATTAATGCAAGGGAGACGGTCATTTGTGAATAAGAACGAGAATTTACTAACAAGGTTGTTGAATATTAACTTTTCGCATTTCACTTACGGTTGAGAAACAAAGTGAATGATTTTTTTTTTTTTTGACCATTTTGCCAGGACCACTTATGAAGTATTTTCTTTTTATGACTACAGAGCGTGTGTTGATATTATTGGTCTTATAGTGTTGTCTCCTATATTTTATTTAAAACCTTTTGGAAAATATTTTCCTGTGTGATTCCGATAATCTATGTAAAACATAGAGAATCTATAATTCTCAAGACAAAAAATAAAATTTTGAGAAAATATCGTTTTAATACAGTGTCTTATTCACAAATATACTATAATACTTTGTGTTTTTTATAATATTAAAAAAATATCTTGACATTTTTTAAAATATCACTTTAATACTCTAAAATTCTTTTTAGACGTACAATGTTAAAATAAGATAAAGTATCAAAATGAGATTTTCCGTATCTTTCTAAAAAGTAAAAATAAGTATTTATCATAAATAAAAAGTACAAGTAAATGTTAACCCTTTTTTTAAAAAAGGTAAATGTTATCCTTTTACCCAAAAAATATACAATTGTTTTCACTTTTCACTTTTTAACATTCCTCCAAAGCAAAATTACTGTGTTGAATTGGCTCTCATAAAATAAGGGGAACAAGCTATGAGCGCGTGGGAAATAATGGGAAGGAAAAAAAGTAGGTTCTGTCACACTAAAACGTGGGTCCCGCTTTTATTTAAAAAAATGTTGCAATTGCTTTGATTTTACACGTGGTGCTTTGAAAGTGATGCGGAGCCGTGTGGAGTTGAGAATAATCGGGGCCGTATAGCTTTTTTAATGTTATTTTCACGTTTTAACGGTGGTGTGTTTTGACTAGGTCCATCCACTCGCTAATTAAAGTTTGGAGACTTTGAATGTTGATAAGTTTTATTGTTCTCTTCTAGGAAATGAGATAATTTTTTTTCCTCATGATTTTCCTCTACCAAATCAGGGCCATATGCATTAAATGTGAGTGGAAATTTGTTGGCAGTCAAGGTTGGAATGCTTTGTTCTAGGTTTCATGAGTCCATGGTAGTCCATGGTAGTTTTTTTTCCTCATTGATCGAAAAACCACGGCGTTGGGTAGACATAACTTATAATTATATTAAATATATGCCATTTATTGTGCTTCAATGCTTAGATATATATAGTTTAGAGAATCAATGTACAATATACAATACATATCATTTATATTTCGCAACACCTGATATGTACTTTGCACGTACGAACACAATATGAGTGTATTTCCATGGTGGCTATTAAGTTGCGAGCAAGAAAATAAGGGAATTATAACAACCAAAGAGACGAAAAGAGTAGTACTATAGTGCTTAACGGCCTAAGAAAATTGATGAATAAGTTATGGTGGGCTCACTGGTAGATAAAGGAAGTCGTATTTTAGAGTACTCAGATGCATGATAGTTGGGAACAGGCATGTTTCTGGGAAGATCAGGCAATGGCGCTTCAAAACTAAGGGCATGTATGACTTCCTTTATGGACGGTCTTAGATTATGATCAGGATGAACGCACCACAATCCAACGGTCAGCAAACACTCCATCTGTTTCACGTCAAATTCCATGTATAATCTCTCATCAACCACATCAAAAAGCCTTCCACTTCCGTAAAAGTCCCAAACCCAAGCAACAAGAGAAACCCTATCCTCCTCCTCGGAATTATGTTCAATGGATTTTCTCCCACATGCTATTTCTAACGCCACCACCCCAAAGCTGTACACGTCCGACGCCTTGCTCGCCTTGCTCGTGCTTATGTACTCCGGTGCCATGTAGCCCAATGTTCCGGCCAACGCCGTTGTCCGGGGACCAGTGGCTTCGTCCACTAGCCTTGCTAAGCCGAAATCCCCAAGCTTGGCGTTGAAATCTGAATCCAACATTATGTTGCTCGATTTGATATCCCTATGAAGGACACATTGTTCTGATTCTTCATGCAAGTAGAGAAGTGCAGAGGCAAGTCCAAGGACTATTTTTTGCCTCACTTCCCACGAAAGAATGCTTCTTTTTCTTCCAAACAAGTGAGAATCAAGGCTACCATTTGGGAGGAACTCGTAGACAAGAAGGAACTCTTTGCTGATCTCATGACACCAACCAATTAGTTGCACTAAATTTCTGTGTCTGAGTCTACTAATTATTTTAACCTCGGACATGTACTCTTTTCTTCCTTGTTTGGATCGCTTAGAAACTCTTTTAACTGCCACGGTTAGATTCAAGTAACTCAAGTAGCCTTTGTAAACTTCCCCAAATCCTCCTTCACCGAGTTTACCCTCTTCAGCAAACTTTTTGGTGGCCTTAACCAATTCTTTATAAGAGAACTTCTTAGGCCCCGTATCATGCTCAAATTCACAATCCATATTCGACGCGTCGAATCGAGATCTCTTCCTACAATAACGAAAGGCACATAACAAAGCAACACCAAGAAATATTAGAAAAGAGCCACCAACTATACAAGCCAGCAGGAGCACTTGATCCACTCCACCACCATCTTCTTCAAGATCTTGCGGGATTGACGAAAAGTTTGTCGAGCTAAACTCCCAAGAAAGGATGTCGTTAGTCGACGTAGAATAACCAGTTGATGCAGAGAACCCGAAATTTACCTGTTCAGGCAGAACTTGCGACAGATCAATTGAATGAGAAATCTCGTAAATTTCATGCTCACGGTAAGAAACCCTAACAGAGAGGGTTTTGGTCTGAGAGGTATACCAAATTCTCGCAAAACCTCTCGATCCCGACGTCCAGTCTGTTACCAAGGTCACATTCTTCACCGAATAAATCGAGTTTACGTTGATTGCAATATGACTGGCGCTCGCATCGTAAACGTTTTTGTATGTGTCAAATTCCACAGCAACAAGGCCACTCACCGTCGTGTTGTCGCAATTGGTAATCAGCCCTAAGCAGCCTCCCCAAGCATTCAGTGGTACTTGAGAACCGTTTTTCGCTAGAAAGAAGGCAAACCCATCACCGCGACCAGGAGGATCATCTTTTATTGTCATGAGGAAAGAGAATGTAGTGTCGAAATCCGCCGTCGTATTTCCGGTTTGAGGGTTCCAAACCTGCATCTCTTCAGCGTATACCGCTCTGCCGACGCCATCGATTTTCTCCGCGTTGAGCCTAAGACCGGCTCCATCTGTGGTATTGGTATTGGCATCACCGCCGAATGCGATGCCGGACCAGTTTCTGAAATCCGTGCGGTTAAAGGAAATTGCATTTGCATGGAGAATTACTAAAGCTGGAAGAATTACTAGTCGGAGCCAAAAATAAGTGTTGTAGTTGTGGAATGTAGGAGCTAAGATATTAAGATTGTTGATATTATAATCCATAGTTTGATGATAAAGGGAATTGAGCGATGTATTAATATGTTGGGGAGACGTAGTTGTGAAGGACTGATCACTAAATAAGATGTCTTCATTCATGAATAATTTATATGAATCATACATTTCAAGAAATTTCAGAGAAAAAGGCACCGATATTATTTTTCTCGAATATTAGGAAGTTGTCAAAGATGTTTTTCTCCTATTGCAAAATTATTGGATACGATTTCCGTGTTGTGCCGGTCAGACGAATTGGTCTTCCATTCAATTAATAAAAATTATCTTTTAGTACAAAGTTATGGCCTCCAGGAATGCTCAAAATCAACTGATGGGCCCTACGTATATTGGCGAGGTCCGACTATTGGTGGGTGTGCCTTAAACGACATAGTTACTGATGGGCCCTACAAACATTAATCATTCTCAATTTTATGCTCAATTAAAGAACTATGCGGTAAATTACAGGATATGAGACTCTTACACGAGCGGGCAAATGGAGCAACTTTATAGAGGTGGTGTCTTCCATGAATTGATTACAAAGTTATCACAAACAGACCAGCAATATCACCCTCTAAAAGAAGTTTCGATGGATTATTGTCAAAATTTCATAGCAAATCAAAATACCGACGATGACAATCTCTAGACAATGCTTTTTGCATCACCCGCTGATAGAAGGTGAATCTTCCGCCTTCTATTCGCGATGGTATCGCTAAAGGTATTCAATCAAAAAGTCATCTTCCTAAATAACAGAAAATGGGACAGTGGGTAATTGTCCTCTCATGCTACAACCTATTTATTTGATTATTCTAAAGCACGTAATATGTAATAATACTTGGTAAATTTTCATTTGACTCTGGAGTCGTATCCAAATCCTATTCCTCCACAGCTAAAATGAATACCATTACCAATAGGGGATGCTTTGCTATATTTGTATATTTATTAGGGTCTTGCGTCTGCACTTCTCTACTTGCATGATTTGAGGATATGTTCATTTACATAACTCAAGTCATGATTTGAGTTGTGTTTATAAGAAAAAAATACTGTAGTAAAAAAGTTGAATTTGAATTTTTATAAAAGAAAACATTATAGTAATATAACTTAAGTCATAAAATGAACAAGGCTTAAGTCTACAGAACTAAATCACATAGTAAGCCTTATATGCCTAATTTGAAATTGGAAAGTGGGTAGATGATGAGGGTTTGTTATAGGGGTGCGAACCTAGTTGGATTTCCTAGTTGGACTTGATTTTTTCTCTATAATTTTTAAAACTTTCGTCAGTTTTATGTCAATAAATGAAAATAGTAAGAGAATTAAAGTTCAAGAACTAATTTAACGAAATAAAAAGTTCAGGACTAAATTTATACGTTGTCTTTATTTAGGGGCTACGATCGTATTAGTAAAGTTTCTAAGAATCAGATATATATTCATATTGAAAATAGTTAACAGATTGTAAAAGTTTGTGTATTATCTAGGATGCAGTTCATGCTATGTATTGATTAGATCCACTTATTACTTTCTTTTAGTATTTTTCTTAACGAGAAGCTAAATACAAGTGTTATACAAATATTAAAATTGTTCTATTAGAAAGGTGAAAATGTATTAGCAACTAAATCGTGTTATTGTTAGAACGTATTTACGTATTTGCTTCATGGAACGATATCCAAGATTTTCTAGTTGTGCCTCCTATTTTTACGTTTTGTTTTGAGCACCGTAGAATGTTGGAAAAATTTGCCTAAAACCTAAGCAAATAACAGAGAACTAAAAATAACGAACGAAAACTAAAAGTAAAATTCACACTAAAAATTTTATAGAAGTTAACCAATTTGGCTACGTCATGTTTCTACCGTTGTAGATTCTGCTAATCAGTTGAAAAAATTCTTTACAAAGGAAAGCACTCAATCTCACTTTATGTTACTCTCACACTCAAAAGATGTATCCTAGTCTCACACTCCAATTTTCTCTATGAAAATTTGTCATACTAAGTCCCCATAACATTAGGTATTTATAGAGTACAAGAAAAATCCAAAAGTCCTTAAAACTCACATAAAATCGACCTTGAGATCACCTGCCCGCGACCATGCCACGGCACTACCTTCTCAGTGCCGCAATGCTACTTTGAAGCGCACATAATGTGCTCGCTGGTGCCATGCCGCCTATTCTTGGTGACGTGGCAGTACGGGGGACGATTTAGCAATGCACCCATGGAACCATGTATGTTGCCTTCTAGTGCCACAGCACTCACCGGTTGGAGCCGCGGGGACGATTTAGCAATAGGCTCCACATCTCATAACATAAAAATGCTTTCACCTACAACTATATGTGCTCTGAATTCCTTCAGAAATCAAATGTTTTACATTTTTAATTTTACTCAAAAAGTTCTACATTAGGACAAAGTACCCATATAAGCGCGCGCACACACACAAGAACATGAACTTCATGAAGTCCTGTTGCTTTTCTCTCAAACAGTTTGTTTGTGTTTGTGTGTCATATCATGTTTTATATCGTTTAATCCATACGAGTAATTCCAACTTCGAAGAAGCACGCTGTCAAAGGCAAAACTAGAAAAGCAAAACTCAAAAGCATGAGACACTATACCACCCAATAATATTCCGTAAATTCACAAACTTAAAAGGGGAAAAGAAAATGAAAGCAAAAATACGTGACACATGCAACCATTGAGAAATATATATCACTTGGAATCACTTCTCCGTTGAGTATTTCTTATGTTTAATCTTCTCCATTTTGCGTCAACTTTTCTCTTCTATTAAAATAGCTTATCACTCTTCCAGAGTTACAAAGGAGATAGAAAGCAAAAATAATTTTCCATGGAGATAATGAAAAAATAACCAAAATGAAAAAGTTGTACATCTACTTGTTTACTAAAATAGTTTTTTTTTCTAATTGTAATTATGTAATTTCATCTATATTTTTATTACAAATTATGCATGTTTGAAGACTAAAATTTGTAATAGATGTTTTTTTTTTCTTTTCTAATATTGATCGAAAGTTGGTTCTTCGTAAATGATTGTATGTATTTGTTATGAACTTTGAAAAAAAATGTAACCTGTCAGACGTGTCTAAGGCATGTGCCCCATACTAGTCTTACTAAGATGAATGAACGAAGTTCTATATATGTTTTACAGAAAAGAAAATAAATTGGCATGCGGACAATTATTGAACTTAAAATTAATTAGTCATCAAGAAAGCCTATGACAAATATATTATTATTCTCAAGACAAGGCAAGGCAAGGCAACATTTTCGCATGATTATAGTAAAGGCAATTGCAACTCCGCTCTACTTCTTGCTGCAGTATTATAGTAATTTTTTGCTTTATAGCGATGTTAAAAAAAGAAAATTACAATTAATGCAAGGGAGACGGTCATTTGTGAATAAGAATGAGAATTTACTAACAAGGTTGTTGAATATTGGCCCCGTTCATTTTGCTGATTCGAGTTTAAAATTCGAGTTTTACTACAGTTTAAAGCTCTCACAAATCGCATCTAACTTTTTTGCAACAGTAAAAAGTTCTTACATAAAATCACATCTAAACTCAAATTAAAAACTTAAATAAACGAACTAAACGGGCCCTAACTTTTCGCATTTCACTTACGGTTGAGAAACAAAGTGAATGATGTTTTTTTTTTGACCAATTTGCCAAGACCACTGATGAAGTATTTTCTTTTTATGACTACAGAGTGTGTGTTGATATATTATTGCTTTTGGTCTTATAATGTCGTCTCATATTTTTTATTTAAAACCTTTTTGAAAATATTTTCCTATGTGATGCCGATAATCTATGTAAAACATAGAGAATTTATAATTCTCAAGACAAAAAATAAAATTTTGAGAAATTATCATTTTAATACAGTGTGTTATTCACAAATATATACTATCATAAAATTATCATTTTACGATATGAAAAAAAATATCTTGACATTTTTTAAAACATCACTTTAATATTCTAAGATCTTTTTTTAGATATATAATGTTCAAATAACATGGAGTATTAAAATGAGATTTTTCCTATAACTTTTTAAACATATTCTGAAAGTAAAAATAAGTATTTATCATCAATAAAAAGTACAACTAAATGTTATCTTTTTTTTAATAAAGTAAATGTTATCCTTTTATCAAAAAATATACAATTGTTTTCACTTTTTTATTTTTTTAACATTCCTCCAAAGCATAATCATAAGACAAGGGGAACAACCTGTGAGCGCGTGGGAAATAATGGGAAGGAAAAAAGTGGTTCCGTCTAGTGCTGGAACTTCGGGTAGGCGGGCCGCCTGAAGCCCGAATTTTTTCGGGCTCAGGCTGGCAAGCCCAATTCCCGCCCGCCCAAGCAAGAAATTCAGGTTCGAGCTCAGGCAGCCCGAATTTGACATACCGCCGTCCGCCGGGATTTTTTTGAATTTTTCCGACCATGCCCGAACTACCCGACCCGAAAATTTGGTGTGCCCGAATTGCCCGACCCGAAGCCCGAATTTTTGAATTTTTTTTTAATTTTGCCCAAATTTTTCCCGCCTGTCCGAATTGCCCGACCCGCCCGAGGTGCCCGAATTACCCGAATACCCAAAAACGGCTAGTTTTTTGAATTTTACCCGAATTCTGCCCGAAAACCCGAGGTGCCCGAGTTGCCCGAAAACCCGAAACGGCTAGTTTTTTGAATTTTTACCCGAATTCTGCCCGAAAACCCGAGTTGCCCGAATTGCCCGAAAACGGCTAGTTTTTTGAATTTTGTCCCAATTTTGCAAGAAAACCCGAGCTGCCCGAGTTTGCCCGACTGCCCGAAACCCGAATTTCAAAAAATTAGCCGTTTTATCCCCTTTTTTTTGAAAAAAAAAAATCATTTTTTAACCCTAAAATTTCCCTATAAATACCCCACATCCCTCACACATTTTTCTCACTCAAACTCTCTCAATCCCTCTCAATCTCTCTCAATTTCTCTCAATCTCTCTCAATCTCTCTCACAATTTTTCTAAAGCTCTCTCTCTCTATCAAATTCATCTTATTTTTTTATAATGGATCCTTTTAGTTATAGTGGTATTCCCGTTGATGCCC